CGCGTGCCTGAAGAAGAGTGGGTTGACATGGCGTCCTTGTACATGACGGTTTCCCCTTGGCGAATGGACAGTGAGTCGTGCGTTCAAGTCCTTCGACGACTTCGAGTCGTCTGCAATCGCCGCATTCGGTGACCCCAGCCAACAGTGGCGTGCGCGCCTGCAGCTAGCGGGAATCCGTCAGACTGGCAACATTGTCGGTTACATCCGCGCGTTCCGCAAGCTTGTGGCGACGGCCAGCATGCGTGGCAACGATGACCTGCTAGTCGCACTCTTCGTCAACGGCATTCGCCTTTCCGTCCACCCGCCGCGAGCTCACGATTCGGCAGCCCGTCCTTCCTCGAGGACGCCATCTCCATTGCCCTCGACTTGGGCGCTTCTGAGCAGTATGACCAGCGTGGTGGAACACGCAACAACGGCTCAAGTGCCCGACGTGACAGTGGGCGTCCAGCCTGGCGCAGTGACCGCCGTGACCCGCGATATCAGCGTGACCGACGCCCTCGTCGGCAGGACCGCCACACTCCTTCAAGCATCAACGTCGTGGAGGACGTGCAAGGCCTCAGCATCTGCAGTGTGGGCGCCCCAACGCAGCGGGCCACGGTGCGCGCAGTCGTCACTGGAGAACTGGACGGCGAGCCTCGTCGCATGCTGCTCGACACCGGCGCTGATGTTTCTTTCGCCTCACCACATCTGCTGCGTGATGCTACATCAGCCCTGACCCCTGTGTCGCTGCGCTATCCAAACGGCACCACCTTCGTGGCTCGTGACGCCGCTCATATGCCTGTCAAGGTCCCCGGCGTGCCTGCTGTTACAGCGACGCTGCTTGCTGCTCCATGCCCATCCGATGTCGATGCTGTGCTTGGTACTGATGTGCTAGCCCAGAACGACTGGGTACTCTCCTTTGTTGACGACACGGTCCGTGTGAGTAAAACATCGCAGCTCTGTTCTTCCTCAGCCACAACCCCCACAGTCAGCGCGTCACCTTCGCACGCATGCGTACAATGCCGTCCCGAGCCGCAACCTGCTCCAACTTCTGCATCACGTACGCCCTCCACCGACATCTCGGTCAAATGCGTTTCTGCTACAACTGTGGCTGCCTATGTGCGTCGGGACGAAGTTGAGGACGTATTCGTCGCGCTTGTGTCGGCGCAGCGCAGTGACCCGACACCCGCACAGCCGGACCACGAGCTGGACACCTTGCTTCACGAGTATGCGGATGTGTTCTCCAACGACCTGCCTCGTTCACTGCCCCCACGCCGCCCAGAAGACCTCCGCATCCGCCTTCAACCAGGAGCCAAAACGCCCCCCTACGTCCGCTACAAGCTAAGTCCCCCAGAGCGGGACGAGCTTTCTCGCCAGCTGAAAGATCTGCTGCGAAAGGGCTTCATCAGGCCGTCATCCAGCCCATTTGCAGCCCCTGTGCTCCTGGTCCGCAAAAAAGATGGCAGCATGCGGTTCTGCGTGGACTTCCGGCGCCTCAACCACATCAGCATCAAGGATCGTTATCCCTTACCAGATATGCTGTCTGTCTTGGCAAAATGCGCCGGCCACCGCCTGTATACGACACTGGACCTCTGTTCAGGATACCACCAGCTCCGAGTACACCCGCAAGATGAGGACACGACTGCCTTCGTTTGCGATGACGGCCAATTCGCCTGGCGAGTTATGCCATTTGGTATTGCTAACGGCCCACCTGTCTTCCAAAGGCTCATGGACCGTGTCACTGCCGACATCCCTGGAGTTCTTGTCTACCTCGACGACATCGTGGTCTTCTCCAACACGAAGCATCAGCACCTGCGCACCCTTCGCCGGGTGTTCCAGCGTCTCCGCGACGAACGGCTGGCTCTGAAGCCCAAAAAATGTGAATTCCTCAAGCCATCCCTTCTGTTTCTGGGACATGTGCTCTCCTGCCATGGCATATCCGTCGACCCAGACAAGGTTGACGCCGTCATGAAGCTCGCCAAGCCTTCATCCAAGACCGAACTGCTCAGCTTCCTTGGCACGGTGAACTACTACCGTCGCTTCCTACGCAACATGGAGGACATAGCAGCGCCCCTGCGGGAGCTTCAGGACCTCGCTGAATGGGGTGAGGCACACGAGCATGCTTTCAACGCTCTCAAGCAAGCCCTATGCAACGCGACGACACTTGCGCCTCCCGATCACAACGCTCCCTTTATCATCAGAGCAGACGCATCGGACAAGGGTATCGGCGCAGTTCTTGAGCAACACGGCCGTCCCGTCGAATTTATGTCCAAGAAGCTCACATCTGCTGAGGCTAACTACCCCATTCGCCAGCGTGAGCTACTGGCCATTGTGGTGGCCCTTCAGAAGTGGCGCCATTACTTCGGCTTCTTCACGGTTGAAGTCATCACCGATCACAAGTCTCTGTTGGACCTGCAAACACAGAGCAAAATTTCCGAGCGACGCATCCTCCGCTGGATGGAGACCCTCGCAGAGTTTTCCATCAAATGGACCTACACGCCCGGCGTTGACAATCATGTACCTGATACACTCAGCCGCCTCGTCGGATCTACCACCACTGCACTCGTCCCAACACAGCTTGGAACGAACTATGAGGCCGATTCAGCGTACAAGAAGCTTCTCGCGCGCCTGTCACCGCCTTTTCGGTTCGACGGCGACGTTCTTCTCTTCCACGACCGGCGATGTGTGGTGAAGAGCGATATCAAGGCAGTTCTACGCCACGCTCATGATGCCCACGGACACCCTGGCCTATTCAAGACGCTCGGGCACCTGTCCCGTCGTTTCTTCTGGCCAAGAATGTACTCTGATGCGGCGGAGTATATTCAGGGATGCCACACCTGCCTCATGTCCAAACCCGCCGTGCGGCCAACTGCGCCTCTGCAGCCACTCGACGTTCCACCGTACCCCTGGCACACGGTTACTTGCGACTTTGTGTCAGGCTTCCCCACCGTACGTGGCTTCGACACAATTGCGGTGTACGTCGACAAGCTTAGCAAGACTGTCCACCTCGCGCCCTGTTCGAAGACGCTCGATGCTGCTGGGGCGGCACGGCTGCTTGTTGACACTGTGGTGCGTCACCACGGAACACCATGCAGAATGATCTCGGACAGAGACCCACGCTTTGTCAGCAAGGTCTACAAGGAGGTCGCCAAAGCTCTCGGCATCAAACTCTCCTTCTCCACAGCCTCACATAATCAAACGGACGGCCAGTCGGAAAG